ATAGACTTCATCTCCTTATGTTACACAGAACAAGGAAGGAGGGGGTGTTCACACATAAATCCAATCTTGACTGTCTTTCTATTTCTACCATTTTTTTTACACTTTTGTTGTCATAATACTTTTTAAAAACTTCCCCACTTTCCTTATGAAATGACTGTAGTGGGAGTGTTGTGGGGTTTTATTGTTCACACATTATTATAGAACAAAGAATACCAGATCTGGGGTTCATTTATGAGTGTTATTACACTATTTGTCTTGCTGACGCTGTTATTGACACTGACAGTGTTTTTTCAAGAGAAGGCACGTCTCATTGGGGATTGATTGTGTGGTTATGGGTGATACTAGTGTCATTGAATTCCCTTATACTGGAGCATTAAACTCCTATACAGTAAAACAGGATTGTTCAGTAAGTTTTGATTCTGATGCATCTTATCCAAAGATAACAGTTATGTCAATATTTACTATTATGTCATTATTCATTATTTATTAGTTTTTCCAAACCTGTATGTATGAATGTACAGTATGTATGTGTGTGTATGTATGTATGTATGTATTTTCCCGTGTAGCACAACAAGTGAATTTTTGAAGAAAACTTTGACTTCTTTTTTTAATATGATGCAAGTGAAAGAGAATGAACATATTCTGATTTTTGTAAACTGGACTCCGATTGGCTCAAATAACTATTTATCAAAATTAAGCATCACTCACCTTCATAAAAAAAAAAAAACTAATTTTTTTGTGTTGATGAGAAATAGAGAAATGCATTGAATAGATATTACAAACATTAATTTTAGAAATAAATATTTTGATTTAACTTTGCATAATCAAAGATAATAAATAGGTATTAAAAAGTCTTAAAGAAATACATATTGAAATGTATTTCAGTTGGTGGCGGCAAGTCCCTATCATTCAGTCATTAATTCTACCGATTCATTCAGAAATTAAGTGACTGATATTTTTTTGTTTGCGAAATTGAGCAAAGAAAACAGTACTGACAATACTGTGTCTAATTTTTAACACAATATTAACTTCTTATTTGTTGAACTGTTGAATACATTTTAATTTAAATCGGCAATCAGGAAAAACAGCACTCTCACTCGTGTGATAATACTAAACTACATCATATGATATAAATAAGACAAAAACCCATACGGGTAATTTTTTGCCCTCATATATTAAATTTTAGGGCCATATAAGTGCATCCTAATAGTTACATGCACTCAGTCATACATCATGTTAGTCAGCGATTGCAGTGTATGAAATGTAAGATGATGTACAGTTCTGTGCTGAGACGGGGTGCGTTAAATGCATTAATCTTTTTAGCACATTTTTTTCTATAATTAGTCGAACCAAATTAACATGTTCAGCTCTAATAAATACCATGATAATGATTATAGTATTAAGATACCATGGTATTTACATACCATACTTGATTCTGAATGGTCAATAGCAGCATTCTGCAGTCATATATGTTTATAGTCTTCTTAAATTTAACAATGTAAATACAATTCTGTCCCTCACATTAACATATGGAATGGCTTCAGATGATTTAGGCTATACATCTTAAGTTCATCTTTTCTTCATGCTGAGGCCTTGCCGGGGTTTGCTTTGTGATAATGATAGTCTTGACTGTACATTTATCCCTAATGTATCATCTGAACTTTCTGAATTCTGTTTAGTGGAGAGTGTTAGATTGAATACCATTTCTCTCATTTCTGTAATAAAGCTTAATGCAACATTTGCTGGCAATAACTGTTATGCCTTACATTAGCTTTGCTTTGCAAAGTAATTTCATTATTTTGTCGCAATGTCACGTTTTTCATTATCATTAACTCAGTCTAAGCTGAATTTGCTTAAGATCACTAACTATGTTCTCCTTTAAAAGTCAGCTATATGCTTTGTTTTGTAATCCAGTGTTATTCTGTGCATCAGCTTTGGGAATAACTGTGATAAATGTTCAGGCAAATGGGGTCTTAAGCTTTATCAGCTGTATAGGCTGAGTTTGGGCAAGGAACTCGAGTTAGTCCTTTGTTGTACTATGGTAATTACTTAGCGTGGGTGTCCTTGAAAATACATTACCCTGGGAGAACGCTCCCAGCAGAGCCCTGCAGCAGAAAGTGAAAACCAGTCATTGTTTTATGGGCCCTTTGAGAGCTTAAAGCTTGACTATTGAATGAGTCACTATACATCACATAAAATGTTTCTTAATAGCGCAGGCTTTATTAGGAATGTGTAAATCTAATTGTGTAGACAAATGTGGTAAATTGACAGAAATATCTGCAAGGCAAATAATCTCTTCTGTCAAACCCTTATGAAAACTGTGGTTATACAAATGACAATCAATCCGCCAAAAAGCCATGTTTACTACACTTTTACTATAATAAAACCATGGTTATATATGAAGAGTTTGGCTCCAAAATGCGATAAACGCCATTTTAAAAAAAATTGAGTTTCCGCCAAAATCAGTATTGTATCTGGTCGGTATTGAAAAGTAAATTTTAAATTTTACGCAAAATGCGATATCCGCCTAGTTATTCTGTCATGTTTTCTCTCTTTTTTTCCAAACCCTGACAAATGCCAGTCTCCCTTCTCTGCAGAATGCAATATATCCGCTCAACCAATCACAGCGCACCATTCCACGCACTCTAAACAGTAATGGCGGCGCTTTGAATACACCCAGCATCCTAGTTTTCCTCATATATTTTGTACTTTGTGATCAACAAACAAACTTAGGGCTGCAGGGTAAATCGCATGTGATTGTCATGCGCATCTCGTCAGTAAAGCCGGTTCTGTGAATAGTAAATCTCCATCACGTGCTTTCAGATGGAGCGGCATTTAATACACAGAGCCGTAGATCACTGCAATATCGCATTCATAATCGCAGATGAGTCACATTCGATTATGAACGCGATATTGCGTAGCTTGTCAGTGTAAGTGTTTTTATTTATGCCATTAATGTTTTTGTTTATACAGCGTATAGCACTAGTCAACTAAATGAATTATGAATTATGGCAAAGATGAATGCACTTTTGGAAGTTGAATGTAAGGGAAATGTCTTTTTGGAATTTCTGTGGTTTAATGTGATATTGTTGTTCATGTATGTTCATGATGAAATTTTATTTTATTGTTGTAATTAATTTATAGCATTAACAAGATGACCCGTTGAATTCATTTTGGAAGCAATGACTGATTGAATATATTTTTAGTCCAGTACCTGCATATAAGATTAGTATTGACCAAGTTGTTGTGTATTTTCAACAGTTTCAATATGAAAAATAACTTTTATATCGATTCAATGGATTTATTGCATTTTGAAAAAAAAACAGTGTCATGGATTTATTGCATTTTGGGGAAAATTTTTTATATATATATATATACAGTATATATATATATGTGTGTGTGTGTGTGTATTATTAATTAAGTAATTGATTGATTGATTAATTTTACTTTTTTTAAATTTTTCACTTTGTCACCAAACTCTGCCTTGTAGGGCTAGTGTCCTGCAGAGCTTAGCTCTAACCCTAATCAAAACACACCTAAACCAGCTAATCAAGGACTTTCTAGGTATACTTGAAACGTCAAGAAAGGTGTGTTGAAGCAAGTTGGAATTAAACTCTGCAGGACATCAGCTCTCCAGGACTGAGTTTGGTGACCCCTGCTTTAAATAAACACAAAAACAAAGAAACAAAGGTTTATTTTAAAAAATTGTTTTTAAACAATTATTATTTCTTTTTTTTCTTCTTTTTTTTTTAAATCATTGGAAAAAAAACTCAAATATATGTTTTGACTTACATTTGTCCAACTAAACTAAAACAAATGTTCAAATCATCAGGATGAAATGAGAGGTAGAGTTGAGTGTCATCAGCATAGCAGTGATATGAAAAGCCATGTTTCTGAATGACAGAACCTAGTGATGCCATGTAGACAGATAAGAGAAGTGGTCCAAGAACTGAGCCCTGAGGCACCCCAGTAGTTAGATGTTGTGACTTGGACACCTCACCTCTCCAAGATATCTTGAATGACTTATCTGAGAGATAAGACTCAAATCACTGGAGTGTGGTTCCTGAGATGCCCTTTGCCAATAGGGTTGACAGGAGGATATGATGGTTAACCGTGTCAAAAGCAGCGGACAGATCCAGCAAGATAAGTATTGAATATTTGGAATCCGCTCTTGCCAGTCTTAGGGCTTCAACAACTGAGAGCAAGGCAGTCTCGGTTGAATGTCCACTTCTGAAACCAGACTGGTTGCTGTCGAGGAGGTTGTTCTGTGTGAGAAAGGCAGAGACTTGGTTGAACACAGCTTGTTCAAGTGTTTTTTGCAATTAAAGGAAGAAGGGAACTACCGGTCTGTAGTTCTCTAAAAGAGATGGGTTAAGGGTGAGTTTCTTAAGTAGTGGGGTTATATGAGCCTGTCTAAATGCTGAGGGAAAAACACCAGTGCGAAGGGATGTGTTAATGATGTGAGTGAGTGCAGATGCAACTACAGGAGAAATGGCTTGGAGAAGATGAGATGGAATAGGATCAAGAGGACAAGTAGTAGGATATATATATAGCCTATACCATTAAAAGATTTTGATTTGACACTTGAGTTTTCATGGTGATGATAATTCCTGTTTGCTTTTTAATGGGTAGGTTGAAGGGGACACTTGGTTTCTGCTTACACATGTACGTCCTTGCGGTTGACTGCATTTTTTAATTGTTGTTCTGTGTGCGTATACTGTAGATGGATGTCTTTGATTGTTGTGAGCAGCCCCTTACCTGTTCATAATTCTGAAAGCAGCAAATGATCCCAGCAGTTTTTCTGACCTATTGGTTTAGAAATAAACAAACTCTGACTCAATCGTGCTTGTGTTCATTACTCATTTTTATTAATTGTGCAAAATGACCTACGTTGCTAGACTAGCTTTATATTTAAGCAGCTTGGTCCAAATGTGATTAAAAACAAGCCTTTTGGGTAACTTTTTGCATACATCTTCATCTATGACTCCTCTTGTCCACAGGTGACCACCCTGGTCAACACCAGTAACAAAGGCCCATCCAGTAAGAAAAAGGGACGCTCCAAGAAAGCTCATGTGCTGGCTGTGTCTGTGGAGCAGGCGACCCAGAACTTTCTAGAAAAGGGTGAGCAGATTGCTAAGGACAGCCAGGACCTGAAGGAGGAGCTGATCGCAGCTGTAGAGGACGTTCGCAAGCAAGGTGAGCAGCCTGTTATCACTCTGAGGTACTGTCCCAAACTAAATCTGCTGCTTATTTGTTTCAACGTCCCACCAAGCAACCAAACATGTACTTGTATTAAACCTCCAAGGATGGTGTGGCATAGTGGCTAAAGCGCTGTCTGTTAGTTATGTTTGGCTTCTTGAGAGAGGTCATGTGGGAACTAGTGAGACATCTTTCACATTATCTGACCCTAAGAGACATTAACATGCCAATTTGCTGTGGGCTTTAGCGTTTCGCCCATGTGCTGCAGTTTGTAGACAACTAAGCTAAAGTTTTCTTTTCCATCTTCACCTATAAGTCCTGCCTATTATTTACAGCGCTTATCTGGCAGCACATTACACACACTCTCTCTTACCAAGTTTTCTCTCCTTTCCTTTCTTTAATGACTGGACTGAAGTTAGTGTTTGCTCAGCCAAATTACCTCTATGAAAATGGCAAACAGTTATTGATGGTGTTTCTCAGAGCATTCATCATCCCATAAACACAGCCAAAGAGCAATTATGAGCTTGTGGAGAAGAGAAAAAAGCCACTTTTAAACCCCAAAAGCTGAAATGTATTAGCTGTCATTGTATCGTATTAATAATAATCTATTTTCTCTTTTTTGTGGTTTGTTTTGAGATCTCTTTGATGAGGTAATGAATGTGAAATCTTCATTTAATTTGTTTAGTTTGGTAATATGATATTAATGGGAGTCTGGGGTGATTCTCTTTCTCTTTCTGGGAATTTAAATATGAACTAATTCAGAGGAAAACAAAGAAGAATATCAGTGTATGAGAACCCTACAACATTTTTTTTTTTACAGTTCTCACAGAACCTGGAAATATTGGGAAACTTTAAAATAAGGATTTCCAGACATGTAAAATTCATGAAATATAATAACATAATTATAATGTTGAGTTACTGTCATGTAATACAATATTACCCCGCCCCCTGTATTTTTGTTTAACATTTAAAAAAATCATTACTTATAGTAGTATATATTTTTCCACAGGTATGCAGTCATATCCCTGTTCACTGAGTTTTTAAAGGGGTCATATGATGCGATTTCAATTTTTAATTTCTCTTTGGAGTGTTATAAGCTCTTGGTGCATAAAGAAGATCTTTTTAAGTTGCAAAGACTAAAGTCTCAAATCCAAAGAGATGTTCTTTGTAAAAGTTAAGAGTCAGCCACACCTACCTAAAACGGCTCGTTCTAACACGCCCCCACATACCTACGTCACTATCTGGGAAGATTTGCAGAGTCCAGCCCAGGGTCGTCACATGTGGTTGGCGCAAGCCTCCTTCGTCGAATCCGCCGGCCGCGCCATTCTCAAGCCCGCCGCCTGTGCTCACTCTAGCCCTCCGGCTGTTCCTCACTCTAGCCCCCGGCCTCTGCTCACTCCAGGCCACCGTGTGTGACGCTGTTTCGTTGTGAAAGCGAAACTACTTTGTTTGGCTTTCCAAAAATGGACACGGCTAGAAATCAGGCTTGGAAATACATCAACTTCGCGCTGTGGATCGCCGGATCGACTTTCTCCATGGACGAAGTGGAGTCCAGCCCGGGGTCATCACATGTGGTTGCCACAAACTCGCCGGACGCTCCTTCGTCGAATCCGCCGGCTGCTCCATTCTCAAGCCCACCCGCCTCCGCTCACTCTAGGCCACTGGCTGCCACTCACTCTAGCCCACTGCCCTCCGCTCACTCTAGCCCGCCATGTGTTTCGTTGTGAAACTACTTTGTTTGACCTACCAAAAGAGGACATGACTAGAAATCAGTGGTTAAGTTGTATTTACAACACTGTTCCAGAACAGTTCAACCTAAATATTCAGATGTGTCCAGCGCATTTTATGGAGGATTGTTTCCTGATCCTGGTAGAGTAGACTACAATGCCGGCTGTTCTGACTCACAGACTGTAAGTACTTTTTTTTGTCAATTTGCCACTGACGATTCAAATGCGAGTTTTGAGCAGTGTGGAGTAGCACTTGTTGTTTGTCATTTCTCCGATCACAAATGCAGACATGGTTTTATATTTACGCGGCGCGATGCAACGCAACGCAACGCGTAAAAAGACAGTATAAGTCATTATAATCTGTAATTATGTCCCCACTGGATGCAACAAATGCCTCGTTTATAATGGGTTTTAATGTTTTTGTCTCGTCGCATCACAATATGGTAAGGGGCGTAACATTTCCGTCACATGCTTGAGGTATTTGGCCAATCACAACGCACTGGATAGCTGGCCAGTCAGAGCACACCCCGCTTTTCAGACCGATGAGCTTTGTAAAAATCGACGCGTTTCAGAAAGGCGGGGCATAGAGGAGAAACAATAATGTACAGTATGTGGAAAATAATGTGTTTTTTTTTTAACCTTAAACCGCATAAACACATTTCATTACACCAAATACACAACATAATGTTATTTTTAGCAACATCATATGACCACTTTTTAAAGTCATTTGTGGTGAAAATGCACAAGCGTTCTCATATCTGCAGTGAAGGGACTGCAACACTGACAGATGGAGACTGAGCCAAGTCCCAGCTGCAGGGGCAGAATTAAGTGTGTTAAAATACTCTGCGTGGACCATTAGCAAGCTGACCTTTAGCTGGGATGAAGTTAATGAACACAGGTTGGGCATAATGGTCCGAGTGACTTACCACTCCCAAGGCTGACCGTCTGTTGCTCTGTGTGAAACAGGGGTTAAAGGACAAAGACAATAATTAAATTAGAAATCAGTCTTTTTGATGTAATTGTCACTTGTGTCCCACAGTTATTGATTTATTCATTTAATAACAATGAAAAATAACTTAGCGAAACTTTCAAACAAAAGACAATTAGGCTACTAGAAGTCAATTATGAAACCAAACAAGCAGACACAACAGATCTATGAAGCATGTTAATTTTTCACTTTCGCTTTAGCTGCTCAGCTAATTTGACAGTATTTAAAATAAGTTGGCAGTGTCTCACCCTCCCATGTTAGGTCTTCAAAACAAAACTAAATATTAAGACTTTTCAGAGAAAAAGTAAGTGCATTTTGTCCTGTCCAACTGGCGGTTTGTTTACTTTATTTAAGAATTAACTTAACTATAAAATATTTATATTTGTGCTACAGAAGGTCTAGTATGGAGCCAAAACACAATGCAGAAGATGGACTGCAGAATGAAAACAAGACTCCAGTGGTAATTGCAGTAATGAGAGCTAAGGGTCATCTCAGGGATCAATGGGATGTTCAGCTAATACTAGCCTGTTTAAGTTGCTCTGTACCAAGGTCCATAATACCTTAAGAAATCATTTAGCATTCCCATTCAACTCAATAATTTCCATTCATCTCAACATTTTATCAGTCTGTGTTTTTGTCTTGTTATGTTTTGGCATGATAATTTTCTCAGCAGTCTTAATTTGCAACCAAGCTTAAGTAGTGTCAATCCCAGTGGATGTAGCATAATGAAGCTTATGGTTTCTCATCATTTAACAAAGCTAATTGTTGTTCATATAAAGTAGTAGTAAAGTAAAGTAAAGTAAAGTAGTAAAAAACATTAATCATGTTTTTATGACCTCTTTCACGTCCTCTTGCAGGTCAGAAACAAATTTGCATTAATGTACCTGCTTGACTCTTGCTATACCGTATCTCTCTTTAGAGAGGAAAAATATATATATGTGTGTGTGTGTGTGTGTCTCATTATCTCTTATCAGGCAGCATCTGGAAGGAGGCAGGCTGTCAACATTGTGTCTACTAAGATAATGTCTACTCCATCTGGTTTATTTAAGTCAGGAGAGATTAATTCACTGTCCTTGATACCACACAGTTCTGTTTGTGTGGTTCAGTAGTTGGTAGAAAGAATAACAAATTATTTCTGACAGGGTGAGGTAAATGATTTTAGTTTACTGTATAAATGTTTTTTTTAACTTATGATTCAGTTTCTCTGGAGAAATAAGCATTGCACTCATTAAATATTGACTTAGTTATCACTAACCCTCACTTTCATTTATTCTAGGTAATCGGATGTGATATTACTGTCTGGTGCTTTGAAAGCAGGTTTAAAACAGGTTTTATTTGAAGCTTTTGATTTCTGCGCCATTAGCATGACCAAACATGATTGCAAAAATAAGGATTGTTTCAAACAGCTTGGATGAGAATCTGGTTAAATTGTACTGGGGTAAAAAAAAAAAAAAGAGAGAGAGAGCAAGGATGGAAATAAGATTATAACCTTCCGTGGTAATCCGTGAAGGTAGAGCTGCCAAAAGAATGCACAGAGCCAGAGGACAGTGCTGACATTTCCCCTGGAAAGTGGAGGGGCAGCAGCGAGGCACTGTTAAGAATAGCTGACATTCTGTCGTTTTAGTTCACTGTGTGAGAGAAACAGCAGAACACGTACGTACACTAAAGTACAGCCATATTTGTTATGTGCATGCAAGTGTTCACCCATACAGAGCCAGTACAGGCTTAAAAACAAATATTCTCGTTCTCTCTTTCCCTAGACTCTGGGAAGTCAGTTGGCCACAATGTTTCATCTCTGTATATCATTCTCAGATTCAGTGACATTTGCTAATGTCTCAGCTGGGCTTTTTGTAAGCTTTCATTAATCAACTCTGTCCCACCTGCAGCTCCTGTTCAGATGGAAGGTGGGAGTCCACTTACTGTAAGGTCATTAATAGATTTTGTCAATGAACCTTGAGACAAATTGCTCATTTCTACTTTAGCAAGTGTGCCACAGTAACATTCTGGCAGTCTGAATCAGTTTTTAGGCTTTCTCCTCCTAAGTAATACACATAAATACATAACAATGCTACTTTTGACAAATAGAGTTATAAATAAACGTTCAGGAGGTGCATGGTAATCTAATACTGTCAGTCACAATGGAAGGGTATTAAAAATCATCACTCTGGCGACAATCTTCAAATGGCTTTCTTTTTCTAGTTTTATTATGTCTTTATTATGTCTGCATACTGATCTCTACTTTTGCAGTTCTGAAAAGTAAAAATAGGAAAATGCACTGCACTGTATTTAATTGACAATACAGTGTGACATAAAACTGGCACATTGTTTTCCAGACACCAGCAACCCTTTGTACACTGTTTTTCTGAAGTGTGCTGTTTCACTAATGAACACCCTTGGCAATCTTGCCTGTACTCGCAGTTTATTTCACTGGTTAACAGATGCACAGCTATTAATAAACCATTGACATGTCCATGCAGCTCTATTTGGTTCCGAACTTAAAAATGCTAGACATGCTCAAGGGATTTGCTGTGTGGTAGAACTCTAAACATATGTTGTTTGCTTTTGCCTTGGTTGTTTTGTGTCTCTGTGCAGGTGAGACGATGCGCGCGGCCTCCTCAGATTTTGCGGATGACCCCTGCTCCTCTGTGAAACGCGGCACCATGGTCCGTGCCGCCCGTGCCCTCCTCTCTGCCGTCACTCGCCTCCTCATCCTGGCTGACATGGCTGACGTCATGAGGCTCCTGGCTCACCTTAAGATCGTATGTTCTCTTCTTATTCATTTCTCACCTACCATTTTTTCCCCCCAGAGTTGCAGTTTATTTGTGAAATGAATCACAATTTATTTGTCATTAATCATAGTTTTCTTACATTTATTTTATTTCATTTTATTATTTTAATTTGTTTGTTTATCATGTCATACAGCCCTACTCTCAACTAACCACTTTAAGCATTATTACTCCTTAACATTTACACTTGTTTAAATGTTAAACAAGTGGCATTAAACAAATTTGTGTTGCCAGTGAGAGCTGTCACATGGAAAATTCGTCTTTCATCTCTTCATCTTTCTTTTCCTTTTTCGTTTCGATTGAGTGTTCAAAGCTGGTCTTCACATCTGGTCACCGTCCACCGGGTCAGAATGAGCCAGACCCGCCTCTCAATTGTTTCGATATCTAAGGAGACCCATTTCAAGGGCACAGGAAGTTATATTTATTATAGTACAAAGAAACTGTATCTCGAGTCCTGCTGTTTATTTGCATGGCAAATATTGCTGAAGCGACAACCTCTTAGCATAACTTTGTGACAGACTATTAAAATGCATAAATAACATTATCAAATATAATTTCTCTTGTCTCTGTTCATCAGTTAGGTACCATATTTTGCATTTGTATTTATGGTGTAGATAAGGCTATTTTCAGAGGCGCTGAATTTAAGCTTTTTGCTCTTGTACTTTAATTTTCACACCCATAATCCTTTGCTTCTAGTTGCACTATTCTGTTTTCTTTCGATTTTTGTTCCCCACTGGCCCTAAGACAACAAATAGAATTCTTCCCACTCTAACACAACTTTTGTTTTTGTAGTTTAGGGTGTTTAAACCACTTTTTTTGTTTACCCAGCAGCCTCTCTGTTATATAATCACTAAACAAATATGAGAACTAAGATCTGTGAAACTTGATGGTTGCAAAAACAGACCTTTTAGCGTGTAGGATGTGGCTGAGAAACTTTTAGATGTCCCACAAGGGACAAAGCACCTCCTTGTTCTTCCGCAAGTCTCATTATGGAGAGTGAAAACTGTCAGAATTATATGTGCCCCAGGAGAACCAATAATAAGCACTACAAAAGTTAACTGTCACTCGACCACATCAGTTAAAGTGCTTTATGGAACGTTTCTACTATCTTTCATTTTATGGATGATGTTGAAACAGTTGGTATGTGTGTGGATGTTGATTTACAGGTGGAAGAAGCTCTAGAAGCCGTCAAGAATGCCACCAATGAGCAGGACTTAGCCAATCGCTTTAAGGAGTTTGGGAAAGAGATGGTCAAACTCAACTATGTTGCTGCTCGCAGACAGCAGGTATTATTAAATATCACAATTTTTATCTATCTATCTTTCTATCTATAATATAAGCTATCTATCACAAGAGGCCATGTGTTGTGTAAGTCTTGGCTGAAGGGCGTTAATAGGCACGACGGGAAGTGGAATGCCTGCAACCCCTTCCGCTGTGACTTATTCACAATACAGCACGGCAGCTTGTACCTTACTGCTTTTATAAAATGGTTACCAAACAATCCAAACCAAAAATTTTATTGATGTTACTTTTTTTTTAAATAAATTTATTAAATTCTATCAACCACCATCCAATCTATCTATCTAACTATCTATCTATCTATCTATCTATCTATCTATCTATCTATCTATCTATCTATCTATCTATCTATCTATCTATCTATCTATCTATCTATCTATCTATCTATCTATCTATCTATCTCCTTAGGTCTTGCCTCCACGCGGTCACGTGGTTAAAAGGATCTCTCAATAGTTCCAAACAAATGCTGTCCGAATGGGTTTAAGCGGGACAGATAGCAGCATCAACTATAGTTGCATCAGTTTTCCATAAATATTAACGCATATTGTTGCATTAATCATGTTTTTCTTGGTTTCATTTTGGAGGGAAGAGGGATTTCTCACATAACTTAGAATAATACAGTATTCATGCATTAATTCATGCATTTTTCTCGTTCTGCTATGGTCATAATTATTTATCCTATTGTTATTTTACATAGTTCACTTATGCATGATGCAAAGATGCACAATAAATGGCAACATACAATACAATACAAGGCAACCAATTGCTCATAACAAAATATTTTATTATATATCCTGGGAGAGGGTAGATCATTTTAATTGAATGTGCAGTCAGGGTTCAGGGTTGAATAATTGGTTTAGCTTAAGCAATTTTTATAATTTTATTAACACAAATCACTTCAATTAATTTGAGATCAATTTAAGCCAACTGACATCTGGCTGTGGTAATGAGTGAAGTGTTGCTTATGTTATCTAACTACTATTAGAATTTAACTAGCTATTATCTAACAATAAAACAGTCAATGGTCAAATGCACTCACAATTCCAATTAAAAAGATACAAATAAAATCCCTGCGTGCTGACTATTCGCAAAAAACACAGACGGTTATGTTTTAAATTAATATAAACGTTAGGGAGAAAATCAGATGTCTATCAGTATATTAGATCTGTGCATTAGGTCAGGTTTAAACAGGTATTTGTGTATGTGTGTGCCAGGAGCTGAAGGACCCTCAGTGCAGGGACGAGATGGCGGCAGCTCGAGGGGCTCTTAAGAAGAACGCCACTATGCTCTATACTGCCTCCCAGGCCTTCCTGCGCCACCCCGACGTGGCTGCTACACGTGCCAACCGCGACTATGTCTTCAAACAGGTCCAAGAGGCCATTGGGGGCATCTCCAGCTCTGCCCAGGCCACTTCACCCACCGACGAGAAGCACGGCCACGCTGGCATCGGCGAGCTGGCCGCCGCTCTCAATGAGTTTGATGTGAGTAGACTCTGTATTGTTTATTACAGCATATTTAGTATGCAGTCACACCGTCTGTAAAGTGATGCAATTTTTTCATTGTTTTTCAATGTTTCAAACTTTCTCCTTTTTAACTTTTAAGTATGCCATTTAGAAATCGTTGTAGTCCCTGTAAGGGAATTAACAAATCTAACAAATCTAGAAAACTTAACAAATCTAGATGCAGAACATATATTTAAATCTGTATACTTCCAAGCACCATAATCTGTAAATGCAACATTTTGAAAGTAATTATATTGTACCAAAAATGTTGTGTACTATAAGAGAATCAGTAGATCCTTCACTCCGCCTCTCATCCTTGTCCTTGTCTGTTTATGCATTACTTTCCTTAAAAATTGTCTTTCTAAAGACAATATAACAAAAACATCAATTCACTTCCTCTCAGAGACTGTATTTGGAATATTAGGATGCCATCTAGTGGTTATAAAGGTGATCATAAGTATTACTGTTTACGAATGCTAAAACAATTTTTGAAAGCATGTAGTAAGTAATGCTGTTTGTTTTAAGACAACTTATAATGTTTGGAATATTATTTGTCTGCCCTCTGTTTATCTTCACCAAGACTTTTTCGAAATTATATCTGTTTAAATAGTGATTGACAACAGGTGCTGGACATTTCAGGTGCATATTTGACACACTAAATAGTCAAATGTATGTGTACAAACAGTATCAAATCTATTTGTACACTCAAATGAGATGAAGACTCACAGAATGCTGGTTTAGAATAAGTTGTTTTGCTGTTTATGTTGCCTGGAGGCAATGCTGTGTAACAGTGGAAGGACATTCATCAAAAGCAACTGTAATAATAATAATAAAAAAAAGGTATCCATTCGATTTCACTTTTGCACAGTGGTGCTTCCTAGACAACAAAAACTAAAGAAATTCCTCATGTGATATATTAAAGATGTTTATTCAGTATGAAAATTGAATCAGATTTTGTAGTTCTCCAGAGTGCACATCAGCTGGTGTACCACTAGGACATAGTGTGAGAAATTGCCAATAAATTGCCTTTTATTGGTTCATTCTAAAGCATCCCTTAATTTTTGACAATTGTATTTGCACATTGTGCTTGCAAAGTGAAGAAAATGGGTTTATTGCAAAATGATTAGCAAAATTTGCACTAATGTGAATTACTAGAACAGGTAGTTGAGATCATTTTTTCTAAAAACAATTTTTGTCTGAGCTGTCTGAGTTCTCTGTATAGCAGTGACACTCAGTGGCTGTTTTTGGGTCAGTTTTAGTAATTTTATATGCTTTTATGTAATTTTTATGATTGAAAAAAAAATATATATATATAGTAGTTCAGTGTGTTTTATTTAGTTGCCAATGCAACATTTCTAATTTGTTTTTAAGTTTTAAGTTTTTCATCTAATCTTAATAAGTTATTTTTATTTATTTCAGCTTCATTTCAATTAACGGAAATTTGAGTTAACTAAAACAGCACTGGTTTGGGTCAGGTTTCTACATGGTTAGAGGAGTTAAAGCCAGAGGGCTTACTAAAATATTGTCATGAGTAAGAATTACTTTTTTATTTTTATTTTTATGTAGAAAATTTAACAGACAACAATAAATGTAGGTAAAACACCAAACCTGAAGCCATATTCATGATATCAGTATAACTTGTCAACACCTGCTAACTACAGATAACTATAATTATAAGATTACTTAAGCCTAAGATAAGTTGCGTAATTTGTCGACCGATGTTCTAAAATACATTCTTCTATTCTAGTATATAATGATGAAGTATAGTCAGGGCAGGACTTACGGGGCCGGGGGCCCCTGGGCTTGAGGTTATGTTTGGGCCCCATACCTATACTACAAATGCCCTCAACTAGAACATTATTATGAAGTAACACAAAATACACAAAAATTAAAATATGCTTTCATTTTCATATACTGTATACAATTAATAGGCAACATGTCTAGCCTAGTCAAAGTTTAGATGTAATATTAAATAGTCACTGGACACTAAATAGTCAAATGTATGTGTACAAACAGTATCAAATCTATTTGTACACTCAAATGAGATGAAGACTCACAGAATGCTGGTTTAGAATAAGTTGTTTTGCTGTTTATGTTGCCTGGAGGCAATGCTGTGTAACAGTGGAAGGACATTCATCAAAAGCAACTGTAATAATAATAATTAAAAAAAAAGGTATCCATTCGATTTCACTTTTGCACAGTGGTGCTTCCTAGACAACAAAAACTAAAGAAATTCCTCATGTGATATATTAAAGATGTTTATTCAGTATGAAAATTGAATCAGATTTTGTAGTTCTCCAGAGTGCACATCAGCTGGTGTACCACTAGGACATAGTGTGAGAAATTGCCAATAAATTGCCTTTTATTGGTTCATTCTAAAGCATCCCTTAATTTTTGACAATTGTATTTGCACATTGTGCTTGCAAAGTGAAGAAAATGGGTTTATTGCAAAATGTGAATAAAAAAACATGTTGGCTATTAACAATCAAATGAAATCACTATAAACAAAATAGATGGATTTTGCATACGTTATGGTAAGTTTAAATACAACAGTTTAAATGTAGAAATATTAAATGATTGCAAAAATGAAATAACGAGCTACTTTTTAAAATATGAAACTACAACCGCCAGTAGGTGGCAGCAAGTGACTGACTTAATGAGTGAGTTGAATCCTTAAATCAACCAATTATTTTAAAATGCTAATTAATTTAACTTGGCAAACGACTGTACTTATAGCCTGTTTGAACCATTTACTGGTCCGTGTAATGCTAAGAAACATAAGTTACATAATCACATAATGCTAGAATATTAAGTATATTGTAATTTGCTTAGCCAGTATTATAAATTAAACTCAGGACCTGCATTTCGTTTTAGAAACAGTTTTGGTGGAAAACATTCAGGTACAGAAATGCTGCAGAGATGGAATAAACTATAAATGAAAAACAGTCAATTCACTGTAAATTAAACAACAGATTAATTCTTAAAATTAAAGTTACAAAAGTTATTCAGTCAAGAGCAGTGAGTGATTTTGTCTTTTGTTGTTAACATGAATTAACAATAACCAATAATTAATTAACATTGTTAACATTTGGTATGAAAGTGACCTCAGCTTTTAGTATGCTGTCTGTCAGTCTGTGTTAAAGAACAAAAGAAAAAAAAATCACTCTTCTCAAATCTGCTCTTGACTAAATAACTTTTTCATATTTAATATGGATTAATATATTTAAATATAATCTATATCTATGACTTTATACATCATAGTATTTTGTTCCTGAATAGCAGCTACTGTTAGTTTTAGGCTATAGCCTACCTGAAAAAGTTAAAACACAGTTTGTTTCATTTGTATCCTTGTGCTATTGCAGGTAACTTGTTCATTTATTACTGACCGTTTAATTGTCTTTATGTAACATTACTTATTAAAATGCAAGGTTACTACTTGCGTCAGAAACAATGAAAACAATAACTTTTTCTCAAGGTGTTTGTGAGGCGGCTTCATGTGTGCGCGCTTTGGATGTGAACATGAGCGCCCAGAAAACTAGTTTGGAGCGCACCAGTACTGAATGGTTTAAAAAGACTTAAAAAGACGTGCAAATGATAAACTTTTGTGATGATGCAACACTGACCCGATTAGGCAAGTGACAGTCCTGTCAGCTGAGTGAAAGTCTTGTATGGCAGCGTGCATCAGCTCTCTTAGTGCAGACGAGATGTGCTGATGTGAGGCAATTTTGAGAGAGTGAGAGCGAGAAGACACGGTACAGCTGAATCACTCACGTTGTTTTCAAATGACTGACTTAATCTGATATGCTGTGTGAATTATTTTAACTCATCTAACCTACATTGTATATTAAATACATGTTTGCAGGAATTTTCCAAATGTGCGAAACCTGCGGGAATGAGTAAAACCAAATTGCGCAATCCCGCACAGAGATTCAGGACATGATTAAACATATATTCTATTATATAGAGATTTGTAAAATAAATTTCCATGACTTTTCCAAAGCCAAGTGTCCTTTTTCTATGTGAAAAAAATCATAAATTCCAGTTTATGCTGTTTGATTATGGCTTCGAAGGTCGTAGTTGGAAGCTGTTAGCCCCGGCTGGCCCGTGTGCACAGTTGAAATGCGTCTAATAATTTCTGACTGGCACATAACTGACCAAATGTAAACGGGTTAAGGCAGGGCCCACTTCAAGCCCAATGGTAAATCTGGCCATGAGTATAGTATATACAGCTATACTGTGGTTCTGTCCAACACTGCTCTGCTTATGTTGATAATAAATAAAAATAAATAGATGTATATTTTATTCACTACAGATAGGTTTAACTAAATTACAGTGTGATTAACACAGATTGTTTACCACATATTTGTGAATGCAGTGTATTTTTCTAAAGTATCATGCTGTTAGCTTAACACTATACAACATTACCATAAGTAAACCGCTTAATGGCAGGCAATATGTGACTTCTGGACTACCTGTTTGACAAAGGAAGACAGGGGGCAATGAAAGATGGTGGAGTGTTTGGGAAGCCTGTTTCATTGTTTGTGTGATTTTGTTTGTACGGAGTCACAAATGTCTCAAAATGTACACTTTTAACGACTATTTTTTTCCCCTGTTTTCTTACATTTTCATAACCTCCTCTCCATCTCACCATTTCTTCCCTTCACTCAGTGCACTTTGCTTTTTTGAGGTCACTGTTTCTTGATAGTCAGTGTAAATGGAGGTTTTCTCACACCTGCTGGACAGCATTAGACTGTGTTTGTCAGTGATGTATTTGATTTCTGGAAGAGAAATCACAGCTGGAGGTGCGAGACAAGTGTGAATTGTAGAAACGTCCCGCTAATGAATCTCTATCTCCCAGACCTCCTGCATTTCTCATGAAGCTCAGACACCCAAATCTCTCCTGTACGGAGATAATAAACAATTATTATAATTTTTTAAAATTTTGATTAGTTTTGAGCAAAAATGTATTTGTTAAAACT